GTAAAACTTGTACTATTATTCGGCATGTGACGATGCACAGCATCTGGTGAGAGACTTGTTTATTAGCTCCTGGTGACTACTTACCAATGGCGCTATGTGATGAAAGTTTTCGAGTTTCTGTAACAGAACTAGATTAGAACATGATTAATTTCAGGGTATTAACATGTTTTGTTCTAAATGCACAGTGAGAGCAGCGTCTTTCCATTCTATACATAGCCAGAACGCAAGGGTGTGAAACTAATCGAGTATAGTTTGGATATGACTTTTTTTACTAAGCTCCTCCAAACTATACACGACCAGTACGCATACGCTGCGTACTGCTCGCGTATACTTTGTAGTGACTTAGGTCAATTATCTTCCTCCAAAATATACATCGCCAGTACGCATACGGACTAATCATGTATGTATTGTAATAAGTGCGTGATTACAATTTATACGCGAGTAGTTGCATGCTAGTCATTTTGAGGGTAGCGCATTTTCTTACATAACTTTTCAATTCCTATCATTGGAGGTCCGAAAATATTTCTCATACAATTTGATACCATAATGATCATTCTTCATAAAAAATTTAAAACCTACATATTTAAAAACATAATCATTGATATTCATAATATCACTAATCATACACTTAGTTTTTACTAATATTTGTTTTCATATATTTTTCTATACTAACGACAGTCAAGAGTGTTGAGACGCTGAATAAAGCACGGCGTTGCGGGGGCAAGCACCGGCTTGGAGGTGAATGGCAGACGCATCCCTGGAACCATTGTCAGGTAACAGGTTGACCTCCGCAGTCTGATGACGCCTGCCGTTGCCCAAGATATGCTCAAAGGCAGCCTCCATAGAATTTGCTGAGTGGAAAGTCACTTGACTTTGCTATTCTTATTTGGTCAGCGCTTGACAGTCAAGAGTGTTGAGACGCTGAATAAAGCACGGCGTTGCGGGGGCAAGCACCGGCTTGGAGGTGAATGGCAGACGCATCCCTGGAACCATTGTCAGGTAACAGGTTGACCTCCGCAGTCTGATGACGCCTGCCACTGCCCAAGATACGCTCAAAGGCAGCCTCCATAGAATTTGCTGAGTGGATAGTCATTTGACTTTGTTGTTCTTATTACGCTGCCCTGCACTTCATTTCTAATGAATTTTATAATTATTGATTTATTGGTCGTCTTGAGACCTGACTGATTTGGAATCCTTGGCTTTTTGTTCTAAATCGAAGGGAGTTATTTTGAGGCTTATGTATTTGCTTTAAAGATAATGAGATGTGTAGGTAAAGGTTACTTACTTTAAATCAGTATTTGACGATTTGTAAGAACTAATTTAATCAGTCTAAGCAAATAAAGATACGTTTTGATTTTGCTTGAAATGACCGGCTACAGAACCAAGGTCGGATTAATTTTTAGATATCACCGGTACTGGGAGGGTGCTCCTCGCACAGTGCTTATTAGGAATTTTAGCCAGGATACGCTCGTGACATGTTCAAATTCAAATTCAAAAACGTTTATTGCATGTCACATTACAATCATCGCAATCTTGTATACCCATTCTTATAAGATACACCATACAAGAATGCATGGTAAATTCAGTTAACTGCTCCTGAATCGAATGTACCTACTACTACTATTTCTATTTATTTATATTAACCGGCAGACAGTGGTGACTGAGTTTGTTGCGGCGCTTCTTCTCAGCACTTGCCAAATGTTGGTCTCGAAGCGCTGGTAGGGTAAAAAGATTATGAGACATGTAGAGGCTCCTTAAGAGCAAAATGACGATTTGTAAGAACTATTTATTAGTCCAAACAAATAAAGAAATTTTGACTTTGACTTTGACTTTGACAATATGTTGTTGCAAAATATACGTATACATGTTCGATGCACTCAGCACATTAAAATTTTGTCACACTTATTAAGCTTGTTGATTTGCAAAAAAGAACACTAGAATTTAATAATTCAAGATGGAAGCTGGCTCAGTGTTGGGGGTGGCCGCCCAGTCTACTAATAGTTGTAGTTTAAAGTGCTTTGTTGATGTGGTAAAGCATTTGTAGGTGCTTTATTTTATGAGCACAATGAGCCTTTTTAAAGGGGTATTTATTAAGAAATTCGTACCAGAAAGAGTTATCGTTCGATTGTGGTGATGCTAACAACGTATTTTAATTGGTAATGTTTACGATTGGGGCTGACGGGGCCGCCGTTAAAATTGTATAAGATGGTGGTGGATATCAATTTATTTATACAATATAGAGATTTTCGAGAATGCTCATTTGATCGAAAAGAGTGTTAAAACTATCAGAATCCCACGTACCTCGTTTCATCCGTTTTGAATCTCGCCGGTTTCCGAGTTTCTCCGGTATCCGACGCTCTGGGTCCACCTGCTCGTCGTCCGGAAGACACTCGTCCAACTCGACACTCACCCGTTGGCGCCAACCACCATCACGTACATGTAGTTCGCGGTCACACACGCGCGGTCAATTGCACTTTTTAATTTTAAACTTAGTATAATAACATTGAGAAATAAATTATTTCAGTAAAAATCTGAGCAGAGTTTCTGCTTACGATGTTACTAGTTCGAAAGTTAAAGACGCTGTGAAGAACTCCGAGCAAGCTCGCCCCCAGGTGACTAAAATGGCGGCAAACGGAAGTAAGTCAAATCAATTCCTATTAAATAATTGCGGAAATGACGTCATTTAAGGTATAAAATGGTAAAAAACTACACCGGAAGTAGACGCATCTCTCACCAGATGCTGTGCATCGTCACATGCCGAATAATACAGAAACATCATCAGTTATGTAAAATGCTGCACACAAATTATAATTTTTTTGCTGACCTTTGAGATGCTATACAGGTTGTTTATACCTTAGCTGAATGCTTTGTACCTATGCCGTCGTTGGTATTGAATTTGTATTGCAAAAATTACTACGGTTTTAAGAGTTCATGGCAATAGTCCTTGACAAGACGACGTTTATCGACTGTCCGACTAATTTGCATCTCTTTAACTTTAGCCGTAACTATTTATTTAACCGGTCTTTTTGTATAGGATTTGACAGACTTTTGACCTTTGTTATTTTAAAGCAAGTTGGTGAAACCATGGTAATCCATTATTTTCTTATTTCAGATATAAAAATCCATACAGACTACAAAAATAGAAAAATATGTGGAGGTATTTCTGATGTCGAATCATGTTTTTTCTAGTTAACCTATATCCATGTATGGGGACAAGACCTTGCTAATGTCAAGTGGTCCGAAGCCCAAGAGTTATGTGCATAACGCCTGCTCTGTGATTTATCTCGTTGAGATCCTACCCACATACATATGTATGGTCACATACATTTTAACACACTTTTTGACCGCTATGGGGAGGGCCTGGTTCATTTCGGAAATTTATGTTCCACAGAAGCTAGCACATCAGACTTTAACTTTTTGTTGCAAAATCGCACTTATACAACGGAATTAAACAACAGAGTGTATGGCTTAATGTGCTAGCTAAGTACTTTTTGTATCGGTCCAAAGCTGTATGAGAAGGGCTCGGCATCAGTCGCGCTACGAACGACACGACACTTCTTGCGCTGCTTCTTCTCAGCACCATAGTCCAGCAGTGGACTTTATAGTATTGTTGATGATGGTGATGTGTATTTTTCTTATATTTAAATAAGCAAACTTGCTTGTCATGACTGCGCCAGAATATCAACGGTGTTAGGTAATCTCTGACACAAATTATCTTATTTGTCTCATTTATTTTTATTTCTAATATTAACAAAGATGTTGAACATCGATCTTACTTCACACTTTTTTCTCAATTGCGGACGTCCTGTATCAGCAACATTTTTTACGTCTGCCCAGACAATAGTGATGATGTAAGCCAAAGCTTCGAAGGCTGCTCACGGCTCAATCGTGAATTCGTTCGTACAAAATGAAGACGTATTTAGTGATATTTTTAATTTTAACTTTTACAAGTTTTATGTGTTCAGTGATTTGTGAAACTTTCCCGCAAGAAGAAAATGTTCAACCTCACGATGACCAGCCAAAACCAGTACAGATATATGACTTGAATAAAGCTCCAGAACTGTTTGATAAATTTATAAAAGATTATGACAAACATTATAAAGATGAAGAAGAGCATGAAAAACGCTACTATATTTTTGTGGACAATTTGCAACATATTAATGAAGTAAACTCAAAGAGTCGTTCATACACTAATGACATCAACTCTAATGCTGATAGAACAGTTCAGGAAATACTGGGGAGTGTAATTCTTGCGTCGTAAGTACTTAATCAAAATAAGAATAACACATTTATTTGTAATATTCATGTCAATACAGGTTCTTTGTTATTAATAATACTCAATTGCAGAATCAATAATAATAATAAAAATCATGCCCAAAAATACTCAATACTCAATAGTTTATTGCTTCCATAATGTTTACAAAAGGTGTTATTGGTAAGGTAAGATACAATTATGGACCCTGTCGGGCACTGCATTTTAGGAGAGACGAAGATTTTTAGATTTATTGCATTAATTATTCTATGGTTATTAATTATCAAATTTATTTTTAATCTGTATTTATATGTGTAACTAATTCAATAATATATATTATCATTAAGTATTATACTCATCAAGGTAAAGTAAGGTTCCGTTAATAAATATTTATTAACGGAATGTTTTATTATTATTGTTATTATGCTTATTATCCATTATACTTATATTTTCATCTAAATTATTGCACTTAGGGCTACTTTTTTGGCAGGATTTAGATTAATCATTCAGATTTTAATGCACAGAGATACTTAGAAATTTGTATATTTGGAATTTATTTAAAATTTATTGATTATATAAAACTTTTAGGAAATGCTTGAGGAATAGGAAGATGAGCAAGAGATAAATCTAGAATACTCACTAAACTCATTTGTTAATATCAATATCATCTCAATATTCATCGAAAACAAGGGAATGTAGAAAAAAAATTGACGCTAATTTTTAGTCCTACTCGGGGACAAGTTTTGTCCCTAAAATAATAACCTAAATTCGTCACTAAACTCAGTTTTTAATTATTTTTATGAGTAATAGTTAAGCCCAAGTTTTGTTACTACATAGGTACCTACTTTACTTTTTTTTTTTAATATTGTTGTAACTAACTGTATAAATATGAAAAAAAATCTTCAAAAGGACGAGTCTTCAATATTTTATAGAAAATCCTTCAATTTTTTAAACCACTACACTGAATAAAAAACATAACCCTCCTTCTGGCGCAGTCGGTTAAAAATAAGTAATGTCTGGGGGCCCTTGGAACTCAACCTTTTCATTATTATTATGCTTCATGCATGCTGCCAACCTAGCGGAATTAAACATAATAATATTTTAATCGAGTGTGTGCCCTTCGACCTCACTAAACTGTAGTGGCCCTTGTCCTTTAGTGCCTCGAGCACGAATAACTCTCGTAATAGGGATGATGACTGGGTAATTAAATCGAAATTCTATTTAGTCCGTCTGACAGATAATTATAAAATATTAGACTCGTATATTTTATTATTTTCCATAATCCAATAATTACAGTATTATACTGAGTTGAAATGTCGCGTGACGTCACTTTTGAGTAAAAATTCTACTCAAGCGTGACGTATCGCGCCATTTCAACTCGATGTAGCACTGTTATTATTTAATTATGAAAGAAAATAAATAATATGAGTCTAATATTTTCTAATTATCTGACGGACAAATAATTGAAATTTTGTCATCTAACCTATCGTATAGTAATCGTGTTCCCTAAACCATAGTTTCCACCCTGTTTAGGTGTTCCTTGATTTTCGTAAAAAATAATACAATACGATTACCATACCTTACAAGACGACATTTATTCATACCTACTCGGGGTACAGTAGTAGGTAATTAATAACCTTATTGTTTCAACGTACTTACCTACTTAATTGTTTTGTTTCAGGCTTATAGGAGGAGGAGGATTTGACTGAATCAACTTAGCTATAAGTCAACGTCAGACGCGTAGACGATATTACAAATTTATAAAAAAGTAGACTTTTATTTAAGTATAACGTTTATGTTCTTTATGATTATTTCTTTAAAACATTCAGATTGCCCCACTGTAGAACCAACCTGGGTAAGGGCGCCCCCTTGTATCGATGTAGGTAATACGTACATATAACGACGTCAACGACCATGGCATCGACATCTTCTGGATTCAGACCGTTCATTCAAGAAAAATGCATGAGCTACCTGAAGTTGTGTGATAGCTAATGGCTAAATAAGGAACTGTAGCCAAATTTTATTTTTACTGAGTTATTATTTCACTAGGTATTTGGATTATTTTGTTAAAAATTGTTTTTTTCTTCTATGTGTAACTACCTAGATTAATTGGTTAAAATCTGTTCTTTTTTTTCTGTCGCCAAGCTTATTTTCTTTGAATGCTGTATTTACCTGTAAAGGCATATCTTTTAGATTCTAGCTTTCAGTTGCATGTAAATTGATATGTTGTTGGTAAATCTTTAACAATAAATAAATAATTATCTAAAATTTTAATACGAAACATTTCATATTGATTACAATTTACTCTCGTTCTTTAATGGTTGTCCAAAAGACCAAAAGTTGGTATAGTTATACAGTGTTTATGTACAATACCAGATAAGCAGCCGGCAATGTGTGTAAAACACGATAGAAAAGGGAGACGACAAGGGAGTGCAGCAAGGCTGTAGGTACGTTTGGGTTACCTAGAAGAATGTTCGTATATCTAATTTAATTGTGATTTTACTTATAAATAGGTACATTTATCTATGTATGCTATGTGTATTAAATAATTATTATCAATTCCTTAACAGTATTTTTTCGTGATACAAAGCTTTACTAACAATCTGTCCTACTATAGGTACTTACCTATCTAGGCAAAATGTAATATGACATATCGATACCTCTGGGCTCAAAGGTCGTAAAGGACAAAATACCGAAAATGAGTTATTTATACAGTTTTTCTCAGAATTTAATTCTCTATCGATCTGTATATTTAGTTTGTCGAAATTCCCAAAAAAAGTGCCTTTACGACCCATCATTTTTGATAAGCTAAACAGAATTCATCCTGAAAATTGGGATGTAAATACCATTTAATTTTTTAGTACAGTTACCATGGTAGTAAAGAACTAGTATACACAAATTTTTGGGCGTATAATGTACATGTAGTATATCTATTGTCCTATACAACCTTACATTTTCATACCCAAGTCTAAATAATTTGTCCTTTACGCTCTTAGATTATCTAAACAAATATTTTAAAAATCTACACAGTGAGGATATTAAAATAACTGTGAAGGTAAATTTTATAGACGTTTCTTATAGTATTTAACCCATTATAGACTGAGTTTTCTTAAAGTGTCAGATTTTTGTTTTTTTGAAATATGTTCATAATTATGGTCTACATAATGCTATACAAGCATTAAAAAAATAATCCGACCTGTAATCTAGAAAAAAAAATGCTGGTACCATATGGTACCGCTAGCCTCTTACCGTGTCAGTAAGTAAAAACATAATTATCATGGACTTTATAAAAATAGGGTAAATTATATATTTTATTATTATTATATTATGTATTAATATACAAGCAAATAACAGAAGTGATATTAAATGTAAAAAAAACTGTATATTGGGTAAGCAATATTCATTTTTATCTTTGAATATTCAAAAATTTGGAATGGAGCTTGGCATTGCACGCTGCACTTAGCCCCACATAACATTTTCTATACTCTAATATTGTTCGAGAGTTGCAATTATCCCAAGTTCGTTCTATAAATATCTGCTTCGTCTTGGGACCTTCATCGTCCTCCAAAACTGCCAATGTTTCGTGTAAGTAACATCTAAAATAAATAAAAACCCATGGTTTTGTAAAGTATAGGTAACTATTTTACTTTATCTTGCTGTATACCTTATATACCATTGAATATATCACATACTTCCCAATAAATACAGTAAAAACTAAAAATCATAAAATAATTAAAAAGACACGGTAAGCGGCTAGCGGTACCGTACGGTACCAGTAATTTTGACAAACAATATTTCCCATTATTATTACCTATCGACGTAATTTTACACCATTTCACAATAAAAGCACTTATGGAGAATACAAGATTGTAACAAAATCAGTATTTGACTATCACACAAAAAAAATATGATCACTTACTTGAATGGCGCGTCAATTTTTAAGAGAAAATTTTGATGCGCTCACTTCAATCATCAATTACACATAACTGAAAAGAATAACTGTCAATTTTTATTCCTAGAAGCATAGACCATATCTATTGGCTACGACTTGCATCAATCAGAGCACTGCATCTTTTCTCGTGTTAATGTATAGAGCCAAATTAAAACACACAAAAAAGTGGTACCATATGGAACCGCTAGTCTATAATGGGTAAGTATGTGCGTTTGGAACAAACGAAAGAACCTAAAAAATCATCAAAAATACATAATAAAACTATTTTAGAGTGTAATTTATGTGATTTATACATATAAAATGATGATATCTACCCACATCGGGTAAAGTAATGTTCCTTTTTATTATTTCTCATATTTGAAGAAACTAGGTATTTGTCAGGTAAAAGATAATTATTAAAAGATGATTTAAGAAAATAAAAACATGCTATTAAATAACATATTACCTAATTAAGTTAGTATAGTCATCATAAAAATTGAAAAAATGAAAAAGCTAGATTTGTTAAAAATATTATGAGAAAAAAAGTCACCTTACTGCAGTACCTTAGGTGTCATTATTTTGTATGCACAAATCACACAAATACTACACTTTACAATTATTTTTAATGATTTCCTAGTAATTTTGACTAACGCCCTTGGTCAGAACCACTTTTGAGTTTTGACTGTTACAATTATAATAAATTAGTATAGTTTCTAAAGTTATTTGGATCAGCTAATAAAGAATAACTAGTTGGAAAAATATTTACACAACATGGGAAAATATATGTTGAGACTAAGAGTAGGCGCACACCGTTGATTTTTCGTCGGCCGATAGTTTAGTCGGGCAGTTGATCAGTATGGGCATGTATGGGAGTGCGCAAACTACGCCGATTCGATTTGGCGATTTCTTCATACAATTTAAAATCGGGNACGTTCGGGCTTTCAGAACTTCCAGAACCCAAAACAACGTTGTTGTAACGATCACTAACGACATTTGTTAGTAGGTATGTGTGGGACAACTCTTGCAACTGAATTTAAGACCAGTTTTACTCAACCGATTGAGCTGAAATTTGGTATACTTATGTAAGTACGATGACAATGCAATGTTATGGTACCATTGAGCTGGTCAGCAATGATCTGATGACGGAGTCATGAGATGGCCATAGGAATTCCTAAATGAAACGGCGGCATCGCATCGAATTTGGGTTCGTTGGATTTGTCTTTTCGAGCACTTTAGTACTAGATGATGTCCAGGGTCCTGATGATGGAGTCAGGAGGTGGCCATAGGAATTCCTAAACGAAACGGTGGAAACTTATCGAGTTTGGGTTTGCTGGATTTGTCTTTTTGAGCACTTTGGTGCTAAATTGTATTGTAATTGAATCAAGGCTCTGAGATTGAGATACTACTAAAAGTGTAAAATAAAATTATAACTTTTTTTAAAACAAGCTTTTAGGCGGTTATCACACTGCGCCGCGTTCCGCCAGACAGATTTAATCATTGTATGCAAATACCTCTGATAACTGAATACACTGACAACGCGTCTGCGCGCGGGATTTTTTATATGAAATCACGCGTTCCGCGGCTGAGCGCGGCGTAGTGTGATAACCGCCTTATTCTGAAATGCAATTGTACTAAAACGAAAAAAATAATAGTAGGTAGTACTTACAAATGCAAGGTTCAAATAATTTCGAAAGCTTGTAGCGCAAAAATTGGCCAAGTGCGTGTCGGTGCTACGCGCAGTGTAGGGTTCCGTAGTGGTCCGTCGTTACCACAGTATATTTCAGAAGCAAGCAATTACTTCACTTTTCATATTTTCTTCTAAGGAATTTTCACTAGTTAATAAATTTTGTAATACATGAGTTAAATGACTATTAATCTCAAACTAATTGATGTATCTTAACCGCTAGCTATAGTTTTCCTTGAAAGTTCATGATTAGCAGTATTATCACGAATTTTTCCAGTTTTTGAAACCAACAGTTTCGTTTTTAGAGGGCCCCCCCTCAAGGGGGACAACAAAAATTGGCACTTTAAACTTTAATGATTTGAAAACAGATCCCTAAATGGAAAAAAAGTCTTAAGAACCACTAAGCCATATTAAAAGACCTATCCAACGATACCCCACATGATGGGGTCGAAGATAAAAAAAAATCATCCCTTTAGATAAAGGGGAGCTACCCTAAAAAATTTTTTATTTTTTTTCAAAATTTTATTCTACCGTTTTGTCGGCGTGATTAATATACATATCTCTACAAAATTACAGCTCCCTAGTGCCAATAGTTTCCAAGCAAAACTTCGGACAGACAGACATATCGAAACTATAAGGGTTCCTTATGGAACCCAAAGAGGAATAAATTCCGTGGATGCGCGATACAAGCTTTCGAAATTATTTGAACCTTGCATACAATTATTTTTTTCGTTTTATTATCATGTGTTAACGGATTAACGATTAACGTTAACTTGCGTTAAATCTTGTGAGATGTAACGTTTTAACGTTTAACGAAGTTAATTTTTTTATTAACGATTTAACGATTAACGAAGTTAACTATTTGATTAACGGTGCCCAGCTATGCACGTAACATAAGCATATTTAGTTTACCGCGAAGGCAATATTATTAGCAATATTCTTTAAAAAACAGATTGTCGGTAACATCATACACCTATACTTTACGAGTTGGTATATTATATTATCATTATATCGAATAGATACATAATATTTATGACACTGACACCAGAGGATTGTTAAAAATATTCATTGTTACAATCCACACGATAGAAAAATAATATTCGAAGCAAAGCATGAATAACCGTTTATTTGGAAATGCATCATCACATCATCATTAAAACAGCCCTTTACAGTAATGAGCCTCCTCCACTATAGTGGAGTGTTTTGCCATAATCCCCAGACTTGGCAGGCGGGTTGGAGATCGCAGTTTAAAATATTGATGTTTTTCAGAGAGCGCTGCTGCTGCCCGTTCTCTGTTTAATGTGTAGTCCTTAAGTCGCCTCTTACGACACCCGTGGGAAGAGTAGAGTGCCGTCACCACACGGCATTCATTAATATTTGGAAATAATTAGATTTCATTAAAAATCCATCCATCCAATAAACAACTAAAAAGACAGGAATAACGCCTTATGGAATTTAAATAACACTAAACTTCATAATCGGTAAGTTACTTCGACAGATACCTACATAAGGCACCCCTGATTCCTGATGAAAATAAGATTGGTATACCTAGGTACCTACTGTAAGCTACTATCTACATGAGAATAAATGAGTATGAAGGAGTCCTAGCTGGGACGCTGTGACTGATGTGGACGTGTGGGATGCCTTCGTAAGTTGCGGAAGGTCGCTGGCAGATGCTGCAGCAGTGGAATGCTGGAGCACAGGGTTTATATACAAGCAAACATAGTCTCACTCACAGAAATATGTGGTCTCATCAGGTGTCACTAATCAAATCACACTGTCGGTGCTAAGGGTATCTGATCTATGCCGTGTCCTTCATAGTCATTTGCTCGAAGACAAGGCAAGAATTGGGGGCGTTTTCCAAAAATAGAATTATTAGCGCTAATAAGAATAATGGCGTTCGTTAAGCGGTAAGTGCTATCACTGCTAAACAATGTATGGAAAAACGTCACTAATGAAGTTAGCAAACATCTCCTCACCAAAAACATGTTAGTTTCCGGCGGTAATGCTATGGCGATAGCCATTTTGCTTACAATTTGCAATAAATTTTATTTTCGGCCAAACGCTCCCAATAACAGCTGTCAATTAGTGTCAAACTTCTATCTGTCAAAGTTGTCAAATTCATCAACAACAAATCAAAAAAGATTGCGTGTGGTAGTGGACGTGTTAGTGTTTAAAATTATTAAAATAGCAGATTTCTCTTATAAAATCACATAAAGTGAAGGGAAATATGCTTCGTAAATAAAAGTTTAAGTGCTAGGCGATTGTGTACGTTATTAAATTAACGGTAAGTGTGTGTTTACTATTACGATGCATTTCGTAAATAAAACAAGTGTACCAAATTATTAGTTCGATTACGTACTACTACGCTAATTTTAACCAGTTGAGTACTAGTTTTTTTAACCTCGACATCTTCATCGGTAATAAATATTACTAATATCGTTGTTAAACTGAATTCTTCTTGTTAGTTTGACGCACAAAATACATCTGCAATAATGCACCCTCCTTGCATCTTTCTAAGACAAAATTAAGAGCTTTTGCCTGATATATTGTTTAATTTAATAGGCTGAACATTACTGATGTGTAGGAAGGATTTTTATATTTTTTTAAATCAAGTACATAACAATATTCTAAAGTTTAGTTACACTTTATTACAGTCAGTTAAACTTTGTGTCTAGATCTTTTTTGATGCATGAAAATTATTGTATCATATTTCTTATTATGCTTGCTGTGGTTACATTGTCATTTGGTGCAGTTAGCTTAATGCCCGTAAGTTCCTTTTCTTTATACATGAAATAAATAAATAAGATTGCAATAATCAGTGACTAATTATTGTCCGGTTTAAGCATTTTTCAGACGTACTGTATTAATAACAATGTAATATTGCTTATCTTGTCCCTTTCTCATGATTACTTTCAAAAACTTTAGTGCACCATGCTCACTGTGTTAGTAAAATACATAATTGCCATTTAAAGTAATAATAACTAAAAAAATGCACCAAAGCATCTTAACATAATATTACATACATATTATGTCACAAATGGTTGCGAGCAATCACTTATCTGAGTAGTGAGGAAACAAGACTGAAAAGTAACTTTTGTAAGTAAAAAATTATTCAATAGGGCTACTGATAAAAGCTCAGATGCAAAAAAATTCACTGCCAAATGTTTTTTCTGTTAATAGCCCAAAGGTTAACTGGCAGAGAATGCATTGGGCATTCTTAAGTTCGCCAAGTGCCAACTTTGAGATATTAAAGTATTTATAAAATAAAAACTACCTTACGCCAAATCCACTTAGATCATTGCTAAGTCCTGAGCTAAAAAATTTAAAGCTCAACTGTACATTGGCTGTTGTACTTAAGAATGGTTATGTAAATTAGGAATAGAAATGTTTTTACTATCTCCAACAATATTCAGTTATCATTATTGTAGTGTCATTCACTTACAATTGGTAGATAAAATTGGGAACAAGAAAATTTTATTTCATTGTTTGTATTGAATATGCTCCAAACTATTAGACCTTAAGTCATTAGAATTCTACATTATCCTTGATTAACATAAGCTTTACTTGTAGATAGAATATGGATGGATAAAGACATTATGTGGCAGACCGAAAATAACGCAAGCTAAACTAGTTCACAATGTTTTTTATCATTATTTTTTCAGGCTATAATTTTCTAGGATTGTTTGCAAGTCTGTTGTTTGCATATTGAATTGAATACAATATTGGTACAGTTGCTAGTGAAGAAAATGGTTAGTAAAAATAACTATTAGTATTTTAAAAAATTGCACTTGCAACATGATATTTATTAAAACTGACATAACAGTAATTTATGCTCTAATAACCCCACAAATCTGCTAAACGGAAAACGCAAATCAATTGTTGACCAGCTCGTGATGCAATGAGTTAAGAGTAGGCTAACAATAGAAGTTGAACATTATTTTAATTTCATCTTTATTGCCTGAAGTATAAGGAACAGTATATAGCTCACTGTGCTGCTGACTGTAAGTCGATCAGATGTTCATTACCGACCGCGTAGAACGAACTAACGATACGATACGCTGTGGATACGCATACGTTGTTCATTCGGGCCGGCTACGGTAGCGCTCATAAGGCGCAGTGCGCGTGCGTGCGTTTTAAAATATTGTTTTTATCGTATCGTAATAAAAAAAAAACTTTAATTAGCAAATTGCTTTTAGTGACTTTTATTTTTTGGTAAGTTGTTTCAAATAATGTTATCATTAAATGAGTAGCATAATTATAATTGGATTGTGTTTAACATGTTCTGCGTGTTTTAACCTTGGCTTATTGAACAGTTTTGATCGCTTTGGATTACCTATTTCTGTGTAAATATTATTTTAAAACTAAACCAACTTATAACGAAATTCACTGCTATTTGGTCCTGCTTTAAATAATTGTAAGGAACTCCTGAGCATTTCCTGCTAGCTATTTAATTTAATTAACATAACTATTAGTTATGTTATTGAGTATAGAATAGGGAAAGTAAATGCTAAAATTAGATTTAAATGGAATGGAAATGGAACAAATGTAATGACTGTATAAAATAATCTATGACTAATTTTAAATCATCCAATCTTATAAAGTAGCTCTAGCTTCAGTAAACAAAAAGTATTAACATACATAATGTTTTATTAGAAATTACAAATAGCATTTAGAAGAATAGAATAGAATATTGTTTATTTTCATTCTAAACATTCTTTTCATTCTATACTTAACTTTGCTTTCCTAAGCCTAGGTGCAGATTACCAACTTTTTGTCGGCCAATAGTATATTCGGGCAGTCAATCAGTATGGGCATGTATGGATTTGATTTTCATACAAATTAAAATCGTGCCCAACTATCGGCCGACTAATAATCGGTAGTCTGCGCTTAGGCTTAATCATATTTTGATCAATTGCCCCCCGATTGAATTCAAACTGGCAGCCGCTCCGGCGTTGTAACTTGTATTAATTGTAACCGGCCAACAATCCGGCGAGCCACTAGGCCAGACGGCTGAAGTTATAAGTAGTTGTATAAATACACTGGTCATCACAAAAATCGGCCCACCTACGTTTTACACGAAAACTCGTTTCTACTGACACAATCATGGTGCCCCAACAATATTGGTGTTATTTGAAAGCCCAATAAATATCCTTAAAGAAAAACACATTTAATTTCCTAATAAACGATAAACATATACTATAAATGTGACTTGAAAAACTTGAAAAAAGACCTCACTTTGGGCTCACCTCTGGGATCAATTAGACCAATTTTTATGGTTATAAAACCAAATAATGATCTCACGTGTCCTCTTTAACAGATGGATAGCGATTAAACCCAACTTAACAGTTTTATAGCCATAAAAGTTGGCTCAAGCGTAACTACCTATTTTTTGAAGAAGTGACTCTGGATTCTTCTACAGACACATTTTTGGGGTAAAACCTTTCCTTTAATGAAATGAAGTTTAGAACTAGGCTTTTAAATGGTAATATAGTATAGTAATATTGGTGGGAAGTGGGGATGCATACGTTTGAAAGTGCTTGTCGCGGGTGGGTCGATTTTTATGATGACCAGTGTAGTAGGTCTAATGCTAAAATTAAGCACAAATTAACTCAAGTTCAAAATGTTCAAAGTCACAGGGCAAACTATAGAATATAAAATAATTTAGCTTTAGCCGACGCTTTATCTATCTACCGTAACTTAACTTTTAGACACTAAGGTAGGGTATGTATACAATAAAAAATGGAGCCCCTTGTTCTTCAGATTTTAGGGTACATTATGAGTATAAATGGATTTAAGAAATGCTTTTATAAACCTTCATTGTTATTAATTTTTCACTCTATCACTTATAAAGTGGGTGGTTCCTTTAATGGAAAGTAATTATTATTACAGCTATCCTTATGTCAATCCACCCCTTATCAGTAATTGGAAACGGTTACACACTTATAAAGTTCTTTATAAATGGTATTTTTTTATAGAGATCCCGTTATATCTATTAAAAATTAACTAGGTATTTATATACTTTCATGCATGCCAATGTAAATTAATTATGTATCACTCGGGTATACCATGCTAAGTTCGTCGCACCCGTATAGCAAAAAACCTGTTTGTGGAATGTATTTTTGATTAGGGCACTTACAACCGTTATTTGCTCCACTAATAAAAGGGAAACTGACAATTTTTTCATACAAATCTTAAAATTTTCAAAGTGATCGTGAAAACCGTATCAAAATCCATTGCGTGTTTTTTAGGGTTAGCAGATAGACAGTAAGAGTAAAGTGCGTTTGCAAATATTACAAGTCAGGCACAGATTGAGGTTTTTGATTTGGTTTATTACACTATGTTCCTCTGGGTGCCTTGGAACCATATCACAAGGTTTATAATAAGAACCTACTTGTCTGTCCAATACTTATTTAAAAAAAAAACTCGTTGGAGTCTGATATTTGTGGCAAATCATGGGCGACCCCATGCATAAGTAAATAAAGTTATCGAAACCATTTTGAAAAACAAAAAAGGTCAAAGGGTCTAAGTTTTGCCCTAGCACGGTCACGTCTTGAATGTCCGCTTCTCAAGAATATTCCGCCGTTCCCTTCGCTTGCCACGTGATACGTGGCTTCAATATCGCCTTACTATTCGGTTCCACCTCCAATAACTTTCATTGTCTCGCCCGAAAAGGAGTCGTAACTTCATGCCATACAGACTAATGTTCCACAATCGCATTTCAAATAGCAATCTCAAGTATTCGGGCCCTCGGACTCTTTCTATTACTGTATAGGATAGCTCTGAATAGCTCTTGAACTGCATGCTTCGATGGCTTACACAATATTCCAATTTTGCTCGGATATTATTTGATGTTTACGTATTCAAACATTTCAGAGAGGAGTATTAGGTAATCTGTGGCATCTGAAGTAACAGAGTTTAAGATCTCGACCTGATGTGTGTACCTACTCGTATACGTGCATTATTTAGTTCAGTACACCTGCTACAAAACCGCATGAGATGGCCTCAACTAGCAGTCAGTTGTTCAGTTTACGGCTTCCAACTAAAGTTATTTCGTAAAAATACACACAAACAGATCTAACAATCCAAATACACCAGGGAGTGTTTGATGCAAGCACTGCGAGTTCACGAGAAACTATTCTGGATTTATAACCTCCTTCGCATCGTATAGCTTTTCGATTGCCTTATTTATTGTCTGTTTTAGCCCCATCACGGAACTTGAGTCTATTTCAAGTTTGGCTCTACATTTTTATGGTCTATAAATACTAATATAAAACCTCGTCAATC